TCGCCTGCAGTCAGGAGGCAGACCCGAGTAGTACATAGGAGAGTCCTAGGCACTTCACGGGTAGGTAGTTCAGTAGGCACGAGGTAGTCTTCAGGGAGGCAGGGGCTACAGCTGCAGCTCCTGCTCGAGCTAGCATGGGCAACAGGAGGCTGCTCTTGCCAATGCCGCAGGGAGGCAGGGAACATGCGGATGAGTGTACGAAGCATCATTTGAGCGGTTTGATGTGCCCGCTCCGTTTGCCCGTTTGTCTGAGGATGTCAAGCCAAACTTGGTTTCATTGTTGTGTCGGACTCCTGCATGAGAGCAGTCCAAAACGCCGACATGAAACGCGTGTCGCGGTCGCTGACATTGTCTTCTGGTACACCGTGGCCACAAATCCAACCAGTGTGCAGGAGGCGTGCCAGCTCGGGAGCCGTGGAGTAGTACTTGCAAGGGAGAAAACGCGCGTACTTACTCAATCGGTCCACAACCGTGAGGATGCCGTCGTGCTCGAGCCGGTCGCGAGGAAACGGACCGGTGACGTCCATGGCAATGGAGTGACCGGGTACCCGTGGGATAGGCTTTGGGTGTAACTCGCCGTAGGGATTACGGTTGCGGGGCTTGCTGCGTCGGCAAACTTCGCAAGAGTCGCAATACCGAGTGACATCGGTAATGAGGTCGGGCCATCGGAATCGCGGTCGAAGCCGTGCAATAGTGCGGTTGACTCCGAAATGGCCAGCGAGTCCTGAATCATGGTACTCATCGAGGAGGCGAGTCCGAAGACGACGGTCGCGTGGGACACATAGTARGTCCTTGCCTCTCGAGTGGAGGAGCAAGTACCCATCGGCAATGCGGTAATGGCTGGCCGGCGGGTGATCCGAAGATAGCTGTGCATAGAGCGTTCCGAAGTCCGGATCGACTGATATGCCCGGATGAAGTGTCGCTGAAGCTCCTCGTCGAATGCGAAGGCATGATGTGACATAGCGCAAAGATCAGGTCTTCGCGAGAGTGCATCTGCTGCGCGATTGGAGAGGCCGGGGACATGTTTCGGTGTGAAGTCAAATTGGTCGATGAAGTACATCCATCGTCCGATGGTGCTGCTCATCATGTCCTGCGTCTTGTAGTAGGTGAATGGATTGTTGTCTGTGACCCATGTGAACCTACGACGCCCAAGGAGGAAGTGCCGCCAGCGCTTGAGAGCCATCACGAATGCGAGCAGCTCCTTCTTCCTTGCATCATCACGCGAGCTGATGGGAGGCACTTTGTGGCTGAAATACTCCACAGGGTGCCAGTCGTCGCCGTCGTGCTGTTCCAAGACTGCCCCAATGCCATAGCCAGAAGCGTCCGTAGTCACTCGCGTCGGCAGGGTGGGGTCATAGATGCTAAGGACGGGTGCCATGAGCATAGCCGTCTTAGGTGTTTGGAATGACCGGCGTGCGTCGTCATCGAATACGAATGGCACCTTTGGCGAATGTAACCTCGTCATAGGTGCAGCAATCCTGGAGTATCCTGTGATGAATCGCTGATAGTAGCCCRCCAACCCCATGAATGAACGAACGTCCGTGGTGTGGTGGGATCGGGCCATACTCGTAGGGATCTTGTCCGCAAGCGGACGGATGCCTTGCGGCGTCACATAGTGTCCCAAGTACTCCAGCTCCTGCTGTGCGAACTCGCACTTGTCGCGGTTTGCTTTGTACTTGGYYTGTCGTAGCYGCTCCAAAACGGTGCGCAGGTGTTCCACATGCTCGTCCAGACTTCGGCTGTAAACCAGAATGTCGTCGAGGTAGATAAGTACGAAACGATCCAGCATGTGTTGGAACTCCGTTGTCATAGCCGCTTGGAAAGTGGCTGGGGCATTCGTAAGGCCAAACGGCATGACCAGCCATTCGAAATGCCCATACTGTGTCTTGAACGTGGTCTTGTAGCGATCCTCCTTGCGAATCTCGAGTTGGTGGTACCCCGACTTGAGATCCAGCTTAGAGAAGAACTGGGCGCCGCCCAATCGCTCGAGAAGGTCGTCGATGCGTGGGAGAGGGCCAGCGTTCCTGAACGTCTGCGTGTTGAGCTTGCGATAATCGATGCACAACCGCAGGTCCTTGTTCTTCTTCCGGACGAAGAGAACAGGAGCACCGTATGGCGATGAGCTAGGCCGAATCCAGCCTTTCTCTAGAAGGTCGTCGWGTTGTGCCCGAAGCACACTTAACTCTTCCTCGCTCATTCGGTAGATGCAACCGCRCGGAGGTACGGCCCCGTCCTCGAGGATGATCTCGTGGCGGATGGGTCGATCCGGTACTACCCCGTGCGGGCCTTCGAACACGTCGCTGTAGGCGTCGACAAGTTCGGTGATGCGTAGATCCGAAGGTGAGTTCGTCGATGAAGCGTCATGGGGCGGGAGGGCGTGGAGAAAACACACCCCCATCTCCTCGATGTCGTCTCTAATGATGGAAGCTCGCATGCTTGCGGCGGATACCACGTGGCAGCTGATCGAAGGATGAGGAAGAGGCACCGGGCATGGAACTAGTACTCCGTTCCGATCACGAACGTGAACGGTGCGGTTGAAGAAGTTCACCGGGTGATCCTTGCTTCGCAGCCATGACATGCCCAAGATCATGTCGAATTTGGTGTCCAGAATGTCGAAGGACACCGCCTCACTTGCGTGAGGGGCAAAGTACACTGGGACGTCGTCAATGCACCGGTCGATTGACTTGTGCGTGTGACCGTCCGCCAATGTGACTTGCGTAGGCTGGGCCTTCCTTCGGACGGGTGGGCCAAGGCCGACGCGCACCATGAAGTCCTGGCTGATGTAGTTGCGAGATGCTCCGCAATCGATCAAGGCACTGCAGGTCGCCTCTCCGATATGAATGCGTACGTATAGCAATGGTGCGTCGATGTCGTCGTACCGTTGCGTCTTGAACTCGCGGTCGATCTTCACGATGTAAGCGTGAAGGTCGACAACCTCTTCTCCGGCGTCGATCAACGGAGCTGGTACTGCAGTGTGCAAGTAGTCCCGCAATTGTGCCATGAGCACATTGCAATGCGGTTTCGGCAATCGTCCGGTCGAGGGAACGGGCATCCACTGGAAGTCCGTGAACGTCAACGGGTCGAGCTCTTCAAGTCTKGACCATGACGTCGAATCCCCGACGATAGATTGTGGCGAAGCTGCCGAATCGGTTGCCGATGGTGATGAAACCGTGCATGCGATGGACTGTTGCACGTGGAGCGGTTGGTCCAGCGGTGGAACCAAGTGGACAGCATAGTCCTCGTAAGTGTACCGAGGACTTGCGACATTCGCATCCTCCCTAGATGTGCAGGAGGCCGCTAGCAAGGCGGCCGAATCTGGCGGAGTGGAAGGTGGAGTCGCCTCACCTTCCGTGAAGCTCAGTTTCCCGAGCTGAGGCGGGGTCGCACATCCTCCTTGCCCTGATCCTGGCACAGGGAGGTATTGTGCTTGGTGCTGTTGCACCAATAGCAGCTGCTGTAGCGGCCGCGGACTTTGTACTCCGCCTCGGTCAAGCGGAACTTGACCCATGGAACTTGTACCGGCTGTCCATGTCCTGCCTGCGATGCGGATTTCGCCTTCCCATTGTTGCGGGACTTGTTGTTGCTTYGCGGCTGGACAGCAGCCACCTGATCTCCGTCACTTGATGCTGGAGTGGCTGCTGGGTTATCTCCACTGTCCTGCTGGACTGCAGCGAAGTGCTGCTGTCGCGGACCAGTTCGTGCCTTCTCCACATAGGTCGGCTGCCATGCTGATTTCT